ACTATAGCTTGAACTTTACTATCGTTTGGCTTAATGCTTTTTGATGAAAATGTATGTCCCAGATGCCTAACTTCATTCATTTTAAACGGGATCTTATCTGGGTTAATTTAACATTCTCCCATTGGGCTGTTTCAATCACTTCCTGCAGAATCCTATCATCCTGCTCTTCCTTTGTGGGGACAGCTACAAGCGCACCATCAGCTATGACATGAATAGTAGTGATATTGCCTAATCTCCCATTTATTCTTCTGCCAAAAACACTTCACTGACAGGGAGTTGGTTCATATGAAGGATACAAACAACTTCCTTTTTGTCCTAATGGAATGAAGGGCAAGTGCTAAATTCTCACCATTCTTTAGGTGAGGCATCATTCTTTGTCTTTTAGGGGTTTTTTCCCCCTTTAGAGTCAAAATTATATGCTCAATGAAAGGACATCTTCTTTTTTATGAAGACTTCTTAAGATGGACTCCAGCACCAGTTCTAAAGCTCAAAAAAGTAAACCTCTGGTTCCGGTGACCGACCCAGATTCGATCTTGCAACATTATTCGGGACACGTATATTTGCCCTCATTCTTAAGAACTTCCCATTTGCAGCTTTGAATCTCAGCAAGGCTGAGCTTTAAGTCAGACCTAAAGAACTCATGAACTACAGATTTCTGTGGCACACATTTTATTGTTAATATCCTCATAGCCTCTATAAATTATTTATTCACTGTTAATCAATTGTTTATAAAAGGGAGTACACCACAGAGTAATTGGCCATCTTGGTTGTTAAGATATTTCACATATAAACTGACACAGATGTGAAGTGCATGGAGCCAAGCAGCCAATGACCATGTTGAATGTGTTTAGTTTTTATTTAGATAATAGAGGTAGATAATTTAAATAATTTAAGTGTAGCACTGTTTGTGACAGATTTTCTTTGCTCAGCTGTTGAACTGTATCTCTTATCAGACTATTAAGAGTGGATCCCACACCTTGGTTAGGTTTAGGACTAATATCTTAGTAGATATGCATACGACTGCCCCATAACACTGCTGAACTGCATTAAATCTTACATATAAGAATTGGATTGACTTCATGAAAAGTTCTGGAGCAATACCGTAGTTTATCCAACCTATATTTCTTTCCTTTTTTCTATACTTATCACGGTAACTACCCTGTTTCCCTGAAAATAAGACATCCCCCAATAATAAGCCCAATCAGGCTTTTGAGAGCATGTGCTAAAATAACCCCCCCCCTGAAAATAAGCCCTCCCCAAAAATATTTAACCACATGCACAGCCAGTCCCTGCCATTTCCTCTGGTTAGGGTTAGGGATACAAAGCTGGAAATCAAGTAAGATGGCAAGAGGAGCCCTGTCTTGCTCCATGTGCCCCAAAATAATAAGACCTCCCCGAAAATAAGGCCCCAAAAATAAGACTTATTTCGGGGTTCAAAAAAATATAAGACAGGGTCTTATTTTCAGGGAAACATGGTAGCAGTTAGCCTTCTGCCTTGTTAAGCCTCTAGAACAGCTTATAAAGTGGGCCAGGAATTCTGTAGTTTACAATTTTGTTACAGTACATTTTATTTTTGCTTCCCCCCCTCCTGGGGTAAAAGATTTTTATTTTGTGGATTTTAAGGAAGATAACAAGGGGAGGGTTTTCTTTTTCTGCCTCAGGTGTCTTCAAAGGGAACATATATCAACCTGAATCCCAATCGTATTTAGATGTCATCCTGCCAAATGCTTAATTTCAATTAAAACGCAACAGCATTAGTTTCATATTATTAAATTAATTGTGGCATGTAAAATTAAAAGAGTTTGACTGATTGTAACCAAAAATAATGAGAGGTAAAATGAAGTAGTCTTCATCGTTTTATTTTTGTGACATCTGTTGAAAAGCATAGTTTTCTCTGTGGTTGTGATCTCTAAAAGGTTATTTACCTATTTACACTTACTCTCTCTCTCTCTCTCTTTCTATCTCTCTCTCTCTGTGTGTATACTCAATATAACAATACAGAATAATAGAACACTACACTGTAGCCAAAGTATACTCACCACACCAGTATGATGCCTAGCATGGAATAAATTGGAATTTTCATCACCTTACGATATGACCTCAAGGTCCTTTTTCTGGTCAGTCAGTTCTGATCTTCCTAGAGCATATATTGAGCTGTAATACTTAACTCCAAAATGTTTTACATTTAGATTTATAGTGAACTACTTTGGCCATTCATTGCCCATTTAACAATTTGATGGGATAATCCTGAATAACCTGCAAAAATGATCGTATTAAAATTCATCTCTAAATCTACTGTAAATTATTCATACATACATAGACACACTTTAAAGCCAATGCAGATTTTTGAAGTACAGGTAGTCCTTGTTTAGCAGCTCCCTTATTAAAGACCATTTGAAGTTCCAACAGTGATGAAACAGACTTTTACTTCTACAAACTTTTATCTATACAATTTGGGATGAACACCCTTTGAATGGTGTAGGAGTAGGAATGGATTTCCAGAGAAAAAAATTGCAGACTACAGGAACCAGGAGCACTACTCAGGTGACCCTGAGGACACAGATAAACCTCCAAGTGCTTCAACAACGCTCTAAAAGGATGCAAATAACCAGCGACCTTCCATTCCCCACTATCCTGTCAGAGCTGAAGAAGCTTCTTGGATGAGAAGCAAAACATCTTCAAAGAAAAAACAAGAAAGTCCATTTGCCTCCTGAAAAAGCACCTTTGGGACAGCCATGACCTGGATGACTGAGAATCTCTTTTCATTGATGAAACAGTAATTTTATGACCGATCCTAATATTTTTATCATCTGCAAGTCTGTAAAGCAAACAGAAAGCTGACATAAGGTCATAAGCACAGTTGCAGTATCTCTTAGTGACTGCTTACTTCACCCCCAAACTGCCAGTCCTACTGTGGTTACTGAATTACCTGAATTCTACTTCACATTTCTCCATTCTTATTCTTTAGTCACTTATAAGCTACAGTATTAAGAGGACCTCACTGGATGAGAGTTGTCATTTCTTAAGAAATTTTGAAAAGGTAATTTAGTTAAGAGCTTTATGAAAACATTATATATAATTATAGTATTTATGCAGTAGTTTATCACCACATTAAACCATAATATGGTATAGCTATATAAAGTAGCTATGGTATAGCTATATAAACCAATAGATTGCCTTATTGGTTATTTACAGGCTTTGAATTATCAATGAGAACAATCAATCAATCAATAATCAATGAGAACAATCAAATATATGGCAATTAACTGGCTGTTCCAATTTACAGTTCTCTGAAAATATATTTGTGTCTTTTTGACATTCTGAATTTTTGTATAACTCTGTACCGTATCTTATCGGAGCTTCAAGTGAGAGATAATAAATAATAAATTGAATGAACAAATAACACCAATGTTTAGTACTTGTTTCATTTATTTCATAAGCAAAACAATCCAGTGAGTATGAGGCAGGAATGTAAAAAAGGAACTATCCTTTTCAGTAATATCAGTGGCAATAACTGCAACCAAATGCTTCCGCCATCTGGTGACCAACCTCCTATGTTCCTATGTAAGCATTTTGGCTCATTCCTTCATGCTGACTTCAGGAATATCTGAGGGTTTCCTAGTGATATCAGATAGTGCTACATGTCTATGCGGTTTCAGTCGAATATTCATTTGGCCATTCCAAAACATGATACATCAGAGGTGGGCTTTATCTAATTTAACAACCGGTTTGCTGCAGAACCAAAAATGTGAGTGCGCCTTCTGCGCTTGTGTGCAGCTTCAAACACACGGCAATTTCATGTGTGCGGCTTCCAGCACACCTTCTCGGGCAGCCACGGTGAGTAGAATGGGCGAGGCGCAGAAATCAGCTGGGCTGTGTGGGTGGGGTGAGCGAGCCAGAGAGTGAGAGATATAGGATGGGATAGCACCAGGGCAGGTGGGCGGGCCCAGCTGGTGGTTGGAACTACTGGTATGGGCGAACCGGTCCGAACCGGGAGTAGCCCACCTCTGCATACCATGTTTTGTGCTAAGGGATGGATGGCCTGATGTAAAGCAAAAATTTCTGCTTACTTCAGTGATGGTAAGTAACCCAATACTGAGGCCACAAAATACAGGTAGTCCTCAACTCACAGCAATTCATTTAGTGACCGTTACAATGGCACTGAAAAAAAAAAGACCGATGACCATTTTTCATACTTACAACCATAGCATCATCCCTATGGTCACATAATCAAGATTCAGATGTTTGGCAACTGACTCATATTTATGACAATTGCAGTGTCCCTGGGCCACATGATCACCTTTTACACCCTTCTGACAAGCAAAGTCAGTGGGGAAGCCAGACTCATTTAACAACCGTGTTACTAACTTAACAACTACAGTGAATCACTTAACAACTGTGGCAAGAAAATGGGCAAATTCACTTAACAAGCGTCTCAACAGCAACAGAAATGTTGGGCTCAATTGCGTTCGTAAGTCGAAGACTACCTCTATCCCCAAACCATGACATTACCACTTTCATATTCAACAGTTAATATGAAGTTGTTATTGTGGAATATAATGATTCTCTTCCATCAGACATAAGTATCTTTGGTTTCAAAATCTTCATTAGGTAGCTCAATATTGATAATAAAAATTAATGGAACTGTAAAACCAATCTGTGGGGATGATTGGATTCTGAGCAGCCGTTTCACACAAAAGGTTTGATTTTCTTGCTTGACTGAACGCTTGGATTCCTTTTCACAGGTGGCTTCTTTTCTTTTCACAGGTGGCTTCTTTAAACTGATGGTGGCAGAATCATCACTCTCTTATTTGTGGAAGCAGAATGATATCATAAAAACTGAAATATTGTGTCACAAATTACAAGTCCAGTTGCAAATTTTAATTTTAAAACTGAGTGGAGACAATTTTAAGTTGTGTGTGTTTGTTTGTTTTTTTAAAGTAACGCCATCGTTCAAACTAAACTTCACCTGATGGTTTATTGACTTTTCCCTTTGACAGGAAACAGATCTTATTCTGACCTTCAATATTTCAATGCACCGGTCTTGGTGGATGGAAAATGGCCCAGGCTGCACAGTGACATCTGTGACTCCAGCCCCAGATTGGGCCCCAGAAGACCATCGCTACATCACTGTGTCAGGGTGCGTTCTTGAATATCAATATATAGAAGTGGCTCACAGTGCTCTACAAATCTTTTTTGCAGTAAGTATCCCATTATTTCTTCTTTCATTGTCTTCTTATATGAGGTATCTCAACCCAAGAGAATACAAAAATTGCAATACTCTTTTTAAATATATTTACGTATTTTTCGGAGTATAAGACGCACCTTTTTCCTCCCTAAAAGGGGGTGAAAATTTAGGTGCGTCTTATACACTGAATGTTGCCCCGCCCACCCACTGCCCCCCACCCTTTGGCCTGTGCCTCGCAGCAGTTACCTCCTTGCAAGCAAACAGCAAGAAAAAACAGCTCCTTTCAGCTTCAGCACAATCTAATTAGCACAAGTTGATTGGATAGGCCTCCCGACTCTCAGCTGATTTGCTCTCAGCTATTTTGCCCAGCAAAGCTATTTTGCTTGCTGCAAAGAGGTAAATTGCTGGAGCAGATTTTTTTTTCCTTGTGCTAATCAAGCTATGCTGAAAACAAAAACGAAAGTAAAGCAGGCTGTTTGCTGTTTGCTGCTTGCTGCAAGGAGGCAAAATTGCTCAGAGGCAGAGGCAGATTCCTTTTTCTTCTTTTCCTCACCAAAAAAGGTAGGTGCGTCTTATACTCCCGTGTGTTTTATACTCCAAAAACTACGGTACTTTGAACTACATAACATTTTTAAAGAATGATCTCTAGAATTGTGTGAATCTAGAAGACACAAAATCATGTGGTGTTCTACAGAACATTTGCAAGCTATAGTTTCAGATGCGAGCATCAGAATTTCAATGTGTTGTGAGAAGCATTTAGGGATAAATGCAAGGTGTATGATTGAGCAAGCTACCATCTTTTTATTAAAAACTGCAGAAATATGGATAGTTCTTCAGTTGTACTATTTGATGGTGCAACAAGACTTAGTCTATATTCATTGGAACAATTCCACAAGTTTAGAATTATACTACAATACTTAGTTGTACATATGCTGTTCCAGTGTTTTCTTCTTTATCAAGAACTTTATTTATTCATTATATTTACATATGAATATATATATGCTCAATAAAAAAGCATTAATATATGAATATATAAATTCATAAATAAATAAAAGATTTTTTAAAAAAAAATCAGTAAGGCTTTTTTATTGCAAGAAGAACTCCCTGTGGAAATCCACAATAATTGTGTAAATTGTGCTTTAGAAGTGAATAGATTATTAATTGAGATTTCTAAAAATCAAGAAACCTGAAATATATATCAAATGAGCTTCTGTAAAATCACCCTGTTTTCTCTAGATTCATTATTCCATTTTTGATCTAGTACAATTAATTTTTATTTTCAGGAACAAATCTGCCAGGAAAGTCTAAGCCCATATTCAGAGTTTAAAACTGGAGTTTTAGAAGAAAGAAATACTCACATATCTTTCTATATATCATAAAAAGCAGGCACAATATTTAATATTTAATTCTTCACCTGATATAATAACCTTAAAAGCATTAAACCACAGCCATTTTACATTCTGCAGAGCATGCTTATGGAAGCAGACCTACAATCTTAAATTAATCACCTATTTTTTTCTGAAAATTTATATACTGTAAACTAGAAAAAACATTGCACCAAGTACTGAAAAACAGAGTAGGTAAATATTACTATAGACTATTTCCCCAAAAATGATTCTTGGAAAACAGAACAGAAAAGAGATATATTTGCACAAATATGTCCAAGTATTGGAGAATATATAAATCAGTGAGTTGAGCTGTAATTTAATAATAAATCACAACTCTGATTAAAAGGAATGAAATACAATATCATGTTACCGCATTATAGAGCTCTCTTTCTCTCTTTCTCTAACACATTGTCATAGAACAAGAAGTAGCTTGGTGAAACAATATTGTTGTTTCCCATATGCCTATGAAATATGTGTGAATTTCACAAGAACATGAGCTGAATTTATACCTAGAGCCGTGATGGTGAACCTATGGCACGCATGCCACAAGTGGCACGCAGCGCCCTCTCTGTAGGAATGCGAGCCATCACCCCAGTTCAGCTCTGCCACACATGCATGCGTGCCTCCCACTGGCCAGCTGGTCGTAGAATGCATGTGGGGGTGGGGCACCTGCACAGGGCCCTTTGCACACATTGTATTTTGGAAGTTTGGGGGTGCTTTGGGCACTCGGTCCAGAAAAGGTTAGCCATCACTGACGTAGAGCTTTTCCCTTTATGTTGAAATCTAATAGTATACATAATCTACATTGAGTAGACATTTACTTGGCTCCTGCTTCATATTCACACAATATTCACATTACTATTACTTAATTTCTGAGGGATTGTTTCTCAAATTATAAAATCAGAGCCCTTATTTTAAAAGTTGCATCCATAAAAAGTACAGTACATTTTACTAATGAGCCATGGTATTAGTCTATAGAGCTGATTTCCATATGGATAACAATGGAGTCATAAAGTTTCAGGTAGAAGTCCTCCTCAGTCTTACCTGAATATGCCAGGAATACAGCCTGGGATTTTACATATATCAGATTCATATTTTATTCATTTTATTCTCAGTAGGCAGTGTGTGTAGAAAGCCACAGATATAACCTTGGGAAACCTATGCAGCAAGAGTTAGAAAAACAGGCTTTAAGGCCAGAAAATGAGGAACAATAACAACAAAAACAAATACACTCACATTGGCTCTGCCTGAATTCCTTGGGTTATAGAGGAAGGGAAAGGACTTCACAGTCAGGACTTCATGATTTGTTTCTATAGCATTTATTAATAAAGTGTGGTTCTAGTTTACCTGCCTGACATAGACAGTTTCCATGGGCTGACCCTATGGAATCACAGCTAGATCACAGCTAGAATTGATAGCACTTATTGGTCAGGTGTAACTAAATATTCAAAGCAAACATTTCTACTTTTTACATTTTACATTTTAAAGGAAATTCACAAACTTTGTAAACATTGGCAACTCATACCCCACTCATTCCATTAGTAAATCTTTTACATGGACCAACCACTAATGTCATCTAGTAGTATCTAATGCAATGTTCTTTCTATTTCCATAATTGCAATTCTTTATGTTATCTAGTTTTGTGTATTGTACTAAGGGAGCATAAACTACAATAATTGTTTGAGTCTTTTCTAAACAATTCCAAATATCTTTCCCAAAAAATTCCTTCTTTCTTCCTTACCTGCCTTGCTCACTTTCTCTCGTTAGGAGTTCTTGATAAGAACCTAGTAGCAATGGACTTCTAATCACTCAAGATTCTTCATGGACAGTGTTTGAAAGATGTCCAAATAATCCCCACCCTCTGAAGTGATCACTGTTTTGCACAGTGTTCTAGAACAGGGCCCCCAACCCCTGGTCCATGGACTGGCAGTCTGTGGCATGCCAGCAACTGGTCCATGCAAACAAGCAAAGCTCCATCCGCAGTATGCAGACAGCATGCAAAACCACGCCCCCTCCCACCTACAGAAGAACCTTTTTCCACGGAACTGGTCCCTAGTGCTCAAAAGTTGGGGGGCACTGTTCTAGAATTCATTTTGGCCTCAATGAATGCTGTGGCAAGGGTATGCTCTGCCACCTGTGAATTGGATCTATGCCCTCCTGGTTATTTCATGGGGTTGAGTGATATGAATATCAAAGAAGTAATCAGCTGCACCCAGAAGGAAGTGGTATTGTGGCTCTTTCTTAAGAAGCCTTCTGTGAACTTGGCTGCTTTATGCCATTATCTTCAAGATATGGTTCTAAGTTACAGAGTGCCTTAGAAAAGGAGATCACTTGGACTGTCTTCAGTCAAGATTCAGGGCTAGAAATGGGACAGGGAAAAAAATGATGTTATGGTGGATGACTTTTCCTGGGTCTTAAATGCCCTTCTAGTCCATTTGAATTTCTGAATCATGAATTCTGGTATGTTGCAATCCATAAGTGATGGAAATCAGAGGCACTATTCTGCAGTTGTTCCATTCTTCTAGATGTGCAGTTCCAATTAGAGCTAATGGAAATGAGAGATTGGACAGGTGAGCACTCCCTTGCAATGTACCTCAGGATTTGGTTTGTTTTCACCTGTTGTTTACTGTCAGAAGAAGTCATATGTTGGTGTTGAATGAAAAGTTATACAACTGTATATCTCCATTCCAGACCAGGCTGGAGAGCCAATGAAACTCTTGACCCAGTATCTAGAGTCTACATGGACCTAGATGGGACAAAACTGAGGCTGAGATTGTCTCTAGAAATATGAAGCTGCTGTGTGTTTAGAAACCACTGGTTCTCTGTCATCTCTGATTTTAACCATGAATGAGGTGGCATGCCTACAAAGGGGCAGGTCTGCAACTTGGGAATTCTTTTGGAATCACAACTACAGCAAGGCTGTGGCTAGGGGGACATTGGGCAAACTAGCTTATGTAACAATCATAGCCCTATCTGGAGCAAGAACTAGTTACTGCCCTATCTGGAACAGAATCCTACATGTTATCATCATCATTTGCTTTTCATGAGCCTGTCTTTGAAAACCATCCAAAAACTGCAGTTGCGGCTGAATACAGTGGATGGCAGGTGGGCAGGTGAGAGTTATTAGAGGCACATAATGCATTGGTTTCCAGTAGGCTTCTGAATATAATTTAAAGAGCTGTTTTGGCTCCTAGGACCACCTTTTCCAGACAGAACCCATCTATCCAATATAATTATCCCAGGTGGGAAAGTGTAGGGTACCTGGGGAGTATCTGAAGGGAGTGCTTTATTGTTCTGGACCCATCTTATGAAAAAGCCTCTTCTCAGCAAATTTTGATTTCACCTCCTTTGCGTCATTTAGAAGGGCTTTGAAAACTGAAGCCTTCTGCAGGGCATTTCAGATCTAACGGTTATGAGATTATGTAGCTCCATGGTTCTTATTTCTGTATGTATAGCTGCTTTTATGTGTAGATATTATATGATTGTAAACCACTGAGAAATTGCTCACAGCTGGTGGTAAATAAGTAAGTAGATGGGGCTATCAGCTTTGCAAGCATTTATAGGCCCCAGTTTAGTTACACTATAAATATTCATGCCATGCAGGAGGGAAAATTTCTGCAATTTT